CTCCCCCCCCCCCCTCCTCCTCCACGTCCTTCCCCCTTCCTCTCCCTTTCTATTTCTCCTACTTGTCGTCCATGAACCAAAACGCAAAGTGATCGGAGAAACTTCGTGTTATCTTCGTTCCGAGGGGTTTCAAAACTGATGGCTGTCCGAGCAACAATGGGCACTCGTCACTCTCTCTTGGCATGTCGAATCATACCTATTCATTGTCGCAAGGCATGTGATGATCGTCGTGCGTGCGAGGGGCTCGCTTGCCCCCCTCGCAGACAGAAAACTCCCACGGTCTTCGAGGTCGCGCGCCAAGAAGTCCGTCGACAACGGGCCAAGTCGCACCCCATCCTCTCTCGCCTTGGTTCGAGATCAGATCGGTTTGAGGTGCATCAAATGTCAAACTTCAAGTGGGGCTGGGACAAGTGCAGCGCCGTCGTGTGCTCCGATCCCCCGGTCTTTGATGCTTCTTTCCCAGAATTATGTAGACACAAAACACTCACAAAGGGAATTCACGTCCCAATCCCCTACGCTCTCTCTAGGTCGGTCGCTGCGGGGTTGGAGTTGGAGATACACGCTTGATGTGTGATGTCATGGCTCTACCGCCGCTGCAATGATGGTAGTAGTCCCATCAGGCTTAAACCTAGCACCGACAAAATATTCCCTTTGCCGGCTCTCAGCGTGTGCCCGTAGTTGACGTCGTCTGACGTGCTGAGGAATGATAGCCAAACACACAATGCCACCACCTCTAGGTTAACTCTTGGTTAGCTACGGCGATACGATGCATCCGCCCATATACCCCTGCTCTCAGCACAGAGGACAAGCAACAGGACATGGATGGGAAGAGAAAGGAGAGGAATGGTACGTCAACTTTGACGGGACTAGGACATATCTGCTCTTGCGTAACCACTTTTTGTTGGGAAAGGAACTCTAGAAGTGAGAAAGTCTCAAGAAACATACACTTCTTCGTGGAGAGTCTGTTCGATGGCTGCTGGGCGCCTGGCGCTTCATGAAAACAAATCACTGCGCAGACTACATGTATTGCGTACTATTCTCGACAGACGGGGTGTGGCTCGCGAATTTACCTTCGTGAGAAGAACCTTGAGCGTGTCCGCATCTACGTCACCCTTCCGGTATCTTGTCCAAATCTCCAACTCCTCCTCAGACGGCTCGACTAGCGGGGCCGTGAACTTGAAGTACGGTCGCAGATTCCTTCCTCGAACAAGAAGAGAGGACGGCCGCAGGCTTCAAGCTTTCATATGTACGCGGTGAGCGAAGAGAAAGGAACTTAATGCCCAAGATCGTAACACCCCAGACACGCTACCATTCACTAATCCCAAAGAGTCTCGAATCATCTTCCGGTCGGTGGTGTGTTGCTGCTGCCTTCCCAGAGCGGTGAGTGGGGCTGCACCGGGACGTCGCAGAGAAATTGGGCCAAAAACTGGTGCGTCGTTATGCCCCCGCGTTCATTTCTCCATCGCTTACTTATAAATGAAGATGTAAGGTCCTGCCGCTACCGCCACGGCAGGCCTTCCGCCTCCCGCCTTGTGGGTGTTGTCCTCCGCCCCGTGGAACGCGCATAGGCCGGACGGTTCGTCCAGCAGGGGGTGTTCGGCGAAGATGCTCGTGCCTTGATACACCTTTAGGGGTCACACGCAAAACAACGTGTCTTCTCTGCATGTGTATGTGGCATTTATTCGTTTTCCTGTTGGTGGCATGGAGAGACAGCAAGCACCGGTACTCGTTTATCTCCTGCCTTGATGGTGGTGGACAACACTGCTACCGTCTCCGAGCGAAAAACAAACTTTGGATTCCCTCGGCTGGTGAACGAGGGTGGTCCTCTTGTTCACCGATGGGTTGTTTTTGGCATCGTCGGCATTAGAGACGACAGGAAAAACTGCTTCCACCTGTACACATCCACGGTTCCGATTGCATGCTGCCGGTCGGCGTATTTTCACTTCGTACATTTTGCAAAATCGTTGGCCCAACAGGACGTGAACCTCCCTTTATGACGATATTATCACTAACGAATTGCTGTTCCTGAAAGACTCCAGTCATTCACATGAGTGCCCAGCAACCCACCCGCAGCACCCTTCCCCTCACCTTTAGAGACATAGACCTGCAGGCCACTACAAGCTTGTAGTCTCCGTTCCTGCTGAGATCCATGAACTAGTCCAAGGCCAAGCACCAAGAGGTAGCGATCATTTCACGGCAGAAGGCGAAACAGTGGGAGGATGTGATCAGCACGAACACCAAATAGACTAACTGCGCAGAGACGACAAGCGAGAGTATTATTGTTGTTGTTGTTGTTGTTGCTGCTGCTGCTGCTGCTGCTGCTGTCCTTGAGGTTTGTCGTTGCCGTTGCTAATGTTACGGTCGTCCCCTTCGTGTTAAAATCTGTGTTTCCGGTCTCTACTCATACCTGCTCACACCGGTACTGGTCAACTATCGCAGACTCTTCATTGTTGCAGGTTTTCCCTGTTCCACGGAAAGAGTGGCAATTTCCAAGGAAAAGGCTGACGTTCCCCCAGAAACCAGCGAGAAAAGTTGGAAGCATTCGAGCTCGTGTACAAAAGACGCGTTTGAGGACCGCTAATGATAAAGTATGTTCCTGTGTGTGCATCTCACCTGCATGCATCCGCCGTTGCATGTGAGGCCCGCGACCGGATCATGCCATGCCTCCAACCAAGGGCCCAAGCGCCCCTTTTCAGGTAACGGATGCTCGACTTGGGCTGCACTGGCCAGGATGCTAGACATTGTGTTGCTGAAAAAGTGTTGTGGATGTAAAAGTGCAAGAAACAGGGCTTAATGTGTACACTGCCGTGCAAGGCAGCGGTGACGCAGAGCGACCACGGCGGTGTAGATATTAGACTACCGTATATGACACAAGATAACACACCCCCTTGACCAATTTTCGGAGCTCGATTTCTCAACTGCAGGAACAGTCACAGCGCCGAAAACGGCGGTGTTGAAACCGTCTCGTTCATAGCTTTTCGAAAATGTATTATTTTATTTATGCATCCTCTTCGTCGTGGGGAAATCGAGCTTTGAAAATCGGTCCAGGGGGTGTGTTGTCTTGTGTCATATACGGTATATCTATCTATCGGGAGTAGACTAATCTTGTCGTGCCTCTCGAGTCCTGCGGTATTCTGTAGTAGTACAACATGTTGTTGTGCAGGGTGGTTCTCGGTTGCGGACAGTAGCTGTCCACTCTCTTACCTGGGGTGCCGTCCGCTCTCGCTTCCCCTCCTCCTCTCCCGATATCTTTCGGATTGGAGGCTCGTTGGACGCTGTGCATGGATGGTCTCCGGAGATTGTAAAAAGAACGGGGGGAGACGTGGATGCAAATATGTGGGGGCTCCGTGATTACAATCCATCCAAACCGCGTGTTGGGCGGGCTGTGCGCGGCTGTCGCAACTCACTGACTGCTCTCCTAGCCACAAGAAGTAGACACCATGACAGACACAACAACGCCGCTACCACCGCCGCCACCTAAGGAGGCGGGAGATGCTTCCAAGGGGCAAGAAAACGGAGGGGAGGAGGAGAAGGAGGAAGACGTAGCGATGCCACCAGCACCCGCTCCGCCAGCAGCCTCCGCTGCCGGAGTACCTGCCGCTACGGTGGCTGCGGTTGCTGTTGCTGCGCCCGCACAGACGGGGGGAGGGAAGAGATCTCCGAGCGACTTCCTTAAGACTGTGCTGGGGCGTCCTGTGGTGGTGAAGCTGAACTCGGGGATAGATTACAGGGGTGAGAGCGAGGGGTGGTGGATTGTGCCACTGCTGCTGCTGCTGCTGCTGCTGCTGCTTCATCGCTGCTGTTGGCACGAAGATATCAAACGCTTGATTGTTGTAGACCCCTCAACAAGAGGCTGATGTTGTTGCATCTCGAATTGGTTGTGCTATTCTGCGACTGCTTCTAGCATATGGATCTTGCATGAAGAGGACGTAAAGGCTAAGGCTTGGAGCTGTTAGCTGGGGCAATCGAAATTTCCCTTAAATATTTGAGTCTCCCGTCTGTAATTCGTACCATTCCCCGGCGTTGTGGTTTGAATTGGAACCAATCAGACTCCGTGGGCAGGTGCATACCGTGCACCAACCATGGTACTATGGAACAGTTACGGCTACAGCAGCCATGTACGACACCAGGCGACACGCCCATCGTTTCGTTTGATACAATTATCGATTGCATCATCGGCCTTTGCTCTTTGTGCATGTAAGGACCATGGATGGCCTGTCCCGCGGTGTATTGTTGGCACGGGCGGCCAAAATAGCTGGCTCAACAAAAAACAAACCAACAACGCAACCAAACCCGTGGGACCGCTTCGTGGTGTCTGCAACGCTCTGTCTTCTGTTTCCCCGCTGTTGCGCCTAGATTTGTCTGTTGAGCCGCTTTGGGAATGCACCCGCCGTCAAGGGCACGAAAGACTCGGAACTTGCTTACTCATGACCGTAATATTGGGGCTCTCTCGCTGCTGAGCGGCCAAAATTGTTGCTTGTGGCGGCTGACTGCCAGTGGCTTGGCCATCAAGTGGCGCATCTTGACACGAAAGCGCGGTGTTTGGACAGTGCTCAACCCTCCTCACGAGGATCGCTGCTTGTCCTCCCGCCGCCGTTAGTTGCGTATCCTCCCAAGTTTTTACGAAAATGGGGATGCAAACGCAAAGATCTGCGAACGATCATTGATTGGCTTAAAACAATTTAGGACCCTCGTTGCATTTTTTGGACAACAATCACGTCCTTTGAATGTGGATGGAAGATCGCAGCGACATGACCGAGCATCCCTTGCCGTTTCCCTCAGAACCATATCCCCGTGCATCATTTCTCGTCCGGTTTTCCCCATGCTCAGGCGTGTTGGTGTGTCTTGACGGTTACATGAACATCGCCATGGAACAAACAGAGGAGTACGTGAACGGCCAGCTCAAGGCAACGTTTGGAGACTGCTTCATCCGCGGGAACAATGGTAAGGAGAGGGGACACGCAGGAGGCGAGAAAGGCAGAGGGGGAGAGAGAGAGAGAAACACAGAGGGAGGGGAGGAGGGGGGGGGGGGCGTACTCTTATGTTTTGCATGCCTTAGCGGTTAGACCATTGACCACGCGTCCTCGAGAGGACGGAGCATTGTTCCCACAGGACCGATCACCGATGGCCAATCGTTCCTTTCTACTTTGCCAGAGGTGGCTCGACAATGTCTCCCCTAGTCTGTCTATCCTAACGATATCCCTTGCCGCCTTTTCAACCCACCTCCTATGCCCCACTACAGCTACCGTCCTTTCCTCTCTATTCCA